ATTCCAGTTAATTAGCATCAGGCAGAAATCTCTCTTTCCGATCCATATGGAGTTTGCATTTGTGAACTGAAGGAGGTGGAGCTGACAGAGGGGAGGAAGATGGGAAGGATGTGTTTTCTTCTGAGGCTACAGACATCCATCACTGGTCAAAAGAGAATGTAAACCACAGTTGCTCTTTAAGGCATTAGAGACCATTAGAAATTGCCCTATCATAAGCTTAAAAAGCTTATTTCTGAAACTAGTGATGTTCAGCATGTTAATACTGATACTGTAACAGTAACCAAACATTACAGGAAAAAATACTGGTAAAACTTGACAAATTCTTACTCTTTTCATTAGAAAAATCTTTGTTCTCTGCTCCTCTATTTCACCTAAAGAAATTCTGTCCATGTCTTTAGAGCACGCTAATTGATAAACTGCTCCTTGATTTCTCTCATTCCCTGTTCAGGAGGTCAAAGGCTGGACGAATTGTTCTGGTGAGCCATATATACTCATCTGGCAGCTGGCTGGCCTGACAAATAATCTGCCATAAAACAATTCAGATCTGAATTTCCAAACCTTAATTGCTCCATGGTAAAGTGCCCAAACTGCTCTTACCCTGCAGCTAAGCGGTTTTACCCCTCTTTCATTTAATCAAATGTTATTCATTCAAACTGAATGAAAGAGCAGTATCCATTTGCTGCAGGATATATATGTGCACACAATTATGGCTTAGCTGTCCAGTCTGTGCAAGTTCATACTTTAGCTCACCTCCTGATAGTGTGTTTACAAGACTATATCCTAGAGACAGCCTGCGGAATTTAGAATGAATGGGTAAGTCAAAGCATCCACTAACCTTGTGCAAGACTAGAACAATATTCCCCCTTTCTACTGGGCATCAAAAGCCTATCTTTTCTGTTACACCTTTGATACGGCACTCCCTGTAGTCATTTGCCCTTCTCTAGCTTTTAACAAGAGACACAAAACATCACTTATCGTTCTTCTCTAAGCAAAGACAATCTCAAACTGTGCCTGGATGACTCCCTTGAATGAGGATATGACTCAGGTTTCATTTGTTTCCTGTCCTGGTATGCTCTCTTTTGACACATCTACAAGTTTGGTGATGCCTGGAGGAAACAAACAGCTCAGAGCTGGGATTTCTCAAAATTCATTTTATTTGGTGACAAAAAGGCGTGTAAAGCATGGCCTCTACAAAGATGACAATATTTGTTAAATCTACAAAATGTATAGCCTTGTGGGTAGGGCTCTGCAAAGATACACCATCCTTATAGCTATTAATCACCAGCCAAATCTCTGCTACAGCAAAAGTAGAAGCAAGGTCTTGCCTCAGACTCATACGAACAAGCTTAGGGAAAACAGCTCCCTGTAACCTTATACGTCCTTACGCCGTGGCATTGACCTTTTCAATCGTACTTGCTTTCCTTACATGCAAATATTAAGGTAATCAACTACTGGGAAAGCTAAATCTTGTGCCAGGACAGGTTTAGATTGGATATTAGGAAGAATTTCTTCCCCAAAAGGGCTGTCAGGCCCGGGAACAGGCTGCCCAGGGAAGTGGTGGAGTTCCCATTCCTGGAGATATTTAAAAGCCATATAGATGTAGTGCTTAGGGACATGGTTTAGTGGTGGGCTTGGCCATGCTAGGTTTATGGTTGGACTTGATGATCTTAAAGGTCCTTTCCAATCTAAACGACTCTAGGATTCTATGATTCTACCTTAATATTCATGATTCAAACTGATATTATTATTCTTACCCGCGGGATCCTACTTTGCTTCCTACGACTTTGTTCTCCTTTCAGTCTCCTTTTAAATTACATTTCAAAGCTAGGACCTCTTGTAAGCTTCTGATGAATGTCTTAATGAACATAAAATTGAAACATGAGAGAAAGTAATTGGGAAGTAAGAAATGTCATGGTACAATGTGTGATGAATATTCACTGTAATTATAAATTGTGTGTAATATTGGGCTATATGGCCCAGAAGGTTGCTTTCTAAGAATCTGAAATTTAAGAGCTTTATCAAAAGATTTTCAAATATTGAAATGGACTTAGGCTGCAGGTAATGCAGAGATCACTCATTAAGACAGAAAAAAATGCGTAACTGTTGTTTATAGAGAGGTATTTGTATTTCACTTTTTTTTGTCTCTCTTTCAAGAGCCTTGTTGATATACTACACACATTGATTAGCTGCTGACAGCATGCTTCCCTACTGTACTAAGCAGTTCAACCAATGAGAGAAAAATTACACTTTCCCACAATAACTTATTTTCAGGACAATTTAGCACAATGGAAAGCTTTCTCTTAACTGTAATTTCAGAGACAGAGATACAATAGTTATCATTACCTTTTAGTAGCACTAACAGAAACTTATGAAGGTACTGTAAAAATAAAAAGCTCAAGCAACAGAAGAAAACCAAGATGTTGCTATTGTGAAGTAATAATGGTTACCTTGTTTTCATTCAAACATGTGAGAAATGCTATTTGAAAAGTAGATATTTACTGCTGTTTGTGTGAGTGAATGTAAATACTTAACAATATTTATCTATTTTATTACCGTAAATGACAAAAGCTAATGATAACATTGTCCAGTAACTCATAGCATGACACTTGGGAAATATTTAAATGCAAATACATGTACAGGTGAGTCTCAGGGTTAACTGGTACCACTCAGAAAGAACGTATCTGAAAAAGGCATCATGAACACTGAGGATGGAAAGTATCTTTGACATGATAGTATTTGAAAGGATCACAATGATGTATGAATCTGGTGTTCTGCTGCAGCTTGTTTGGGATAACTGAAATTTAGTTAACATTGATTAATTAACAGAAATAGAGTTAATAATTGAAATTAGTTAACATCTTGACATCTTAATGTTACTTAAGCAATGGGAATAGCATCTTTTTTTTCAAACGTGTACAAATATGCTGTATTTGCCCTCCTTGAAAACAATGAGGAAATTTAAAATTTAGATTCCAAAAGAGGTATTTATCTTCTGATAGGTAGCTAGCTAACTGATAGACATTTCCATGCAAAGAATAGAGTAAGTAAACTTTGAGAAATGTTTTGTTACATCATTGTACACATTTACAGCTGCATTTGGCAAAAGGATACAAACTCTTCCCTTCTGTAATTGGAATAAAATTTCTAAATGAGAGGAAAATAAGAGTCCCACACCTTCTATTCCCAAATCTCAGCGAATTCGTCAGTAATGCTACTTCATATCCTGTGGCAGGAAGCAAGAAAAGACCCCTAACAAATTCTTGATCTGGGGGAACTTCTTGGTGTCAAGTTTCAAACCATCAGATGTTTGCATTTTCTCTCGAGTACTCTAGCCATTTCTTTATTTCCAGGGTTTGGCAGCTTTGAAATACTTTCATTCCAAATGCTTTAATTCCCTCTTACTTCTAGTCTCGATCAAGCTTTCCTTTGACAAGGTCCCTGTTACTAGTTCTTTGCATGGCTAAGCTTATGACTTCTTAACTTATGACTGCTAAGACGAGCTGTTGCTATAAACTGGGAGTTCACCAGTTGATGGAAGAATGAAATAATGAAAAAAGACTTGGGTATCATAGGAGTAAGTATGGGCCAGTAATATAAGTCCCCAGGAGAGGCTGTACTGAGGATCTTTCCAACAGTGAAAGGTACATATTGATACTATTTTAAAGCTAGTGAAGTCTTACTACTGGCAATAGTTAAGTATTTACATTCACTCACACAAACAAAGTGAGCTTTGCCTACAGTTCTGGACAGTCATGTTCAAGAAAGATGAATTTAGATCAGGACGTGTAGAAAGAAAGTTTGCAAGACTGATAAGGGGAATGGAGATTCTGACCTGCACGAAGTGACCAGCCCTTGACTTACGTACTAAACAAATAAAAAACAGCACCCCAACCCTTCCAGCCCCAAAATATGCAGATTGCTCTCTACAACTAAATACTTAGGAATAAAGAAAAAAACAAGTATTCTTTAAGCTAACTGACAGTAATGATTTAGTAACAAGTGATATATAGTGGTCACTTACACTAAAAATTGGAGGACATAGGTGGATTGTTAGAAAATGTTGAAGAATGTTGTTGTTCTTTGATTTTGTGGGTCATGATATTAGCCTGCATCCACCATTTAGGTACATTTTAGAATAAACACGTTTGTATCTCAAACAAGGATGTGCAGAAGATGACAGTAAGTGAAAATGAATCTCAGAGTTATAATCTATATTAGCATCCAAGTGCAGGCAAGTCCTTGAAAAGTAATAACAAGATACGACTCAACTCAATTGGTAGGTGAAAGAAAGGACAGACTTATGAAAAGACATTAAATTGGCAAACGGAGTTCCATTTTATGTATCCAACCTTAAACCAAAGAGCAGTACATGAAAACATTAAATTCAGGGAAATCACCAGAAAAACAAAGCAAAACCCACTTTGCTTCTTTCTACAGCAACTTTCCAAACCTCCTGACAGGTGAAAATGGGTTGCAATGTTGACACAGGTGACAATAGACTTAATTCTATGATATCTTGAGTATGGGACTAATGTTCCACAGAGCACCCCAGGCATAACAGAGGAAGATTCCCTCATAGGTTATGGATGTGTAATGGTAAAGCATTCTTTGGAATTCAGGCCTTAGCTAACCAAGACCGTAAAGAATTCCAAGCCAAGGATCTTTCCCCTAATAAAGACATTACAGAAATAATCCAAATATCTGTTGATTTATGTTCTCTGATGTCTGTCTCTGACATTGTCCTGAAGAAGCTATTCATTTGAGGCAAAGTTGTAAGCTTGATACTGACTTTTCGACACTCAACTCCTTTTTATACAAAGCAACAGTCTCCAAGTGATTAAAAAATGAAAACAAAATCTCCTTGAGCAATGTACGCTCTTCATGACTATTGTTTCTGTATAAATGACAACATTCAAAATTAAATCAACTCTTTAACTTAACATAGAACCTTTCCACTGCAATAAAAAACCTAGCCACAAAAAAGCACAATCTATAATTACCTGGCTGGTAGAAATTTGGTGAAAGTTCTCTGGCAACTGCTCTTGCAATATCACATTCCTGGCGAGCAGCCTGAGCAGCCTGATCCGCAGCATCAGCCTTAGCTCTTGCGTGTGCAGTTCTGTATAGAGTAGAAAACAGTTTATATGCAGAGAATCTTTTATGAGTTGCATCAATAATACGAGAGCAAAGGATTATTGTCCTCAGCTACCATACACTACACGGTATAGTGCTCTCTTATGCCCACTTGCTCTGAGAAACTCCAAATGAGTCAAACTATTTCAGAATCAACACATCATTCCTCTCAGTTCTTCAGTCCTGCTTGCCCTTGTATCACATTTACTTGTAGGTACCCAATTTACAGCCCAAGCTTATAATTAAAATTTCTAAATCGAAAAAAAAATAAGTTTCTGACCGAAACCTGGGATTGTGATTTTAATACACGTTACTAGAATGCATACAGAAGTGTACAGAAGGTCAGGCTGCGCCATCACACTGACTCCTAAACGGAGGTCTGTGAGACCAGGATAGATGGTGTTCAAGGGGAATGTGGAATGCTATTACCTTTATAACATTTCAAAGTTAATGCTCAATGCTGGGTGCCACGGAAAATTTTTTGAAGGGCAAAATTGAGGTATGTTGGCCCAAAAAATTGAGAAATGTCTTCCACAATCAGACCACTTCGGAAAGGAACGGGATGGAAAATGTGTTTGATGCTTCAATAGGCATTTGTATAAAAGGGGACTTAGCAGTTTTAAATTCTTGTAACTCACTGAATTTCAAATCCAAAACAATCTGAAAAGGCAACTTTTCTGAAGTCAAGACAACAGTTTGGAATAGTTTTGTAAAGTGATCTGCCCTCTGCTTCCACTCTTTTCCTTCTGCTATTTCTTAAAAACCCTCAAGAACAGCTTGTGCAAATGCCTCTGACTCCACACTGTGCAAATTGATAGCTGTGTTACTGCAGGATTGCATCACTGCTTGTCCTATCTTCTCTCCCCACTTCATATTTCAAACAGTCATCTGTTTAAAAATTCCTGATGGCAGTGATCTCTCTATGCCTCTACAGCATTAGCACATAGCCTAGAGCTATGAAATGGTTCGTTAGAACGGAGAAGCTAAACATGGCAAACGGGCAGAGTTTTTTGAACCTCTAGAGATATTTATAACATTTCTGAAACCAGATATATTAAATTTCATCATCTCAGGAATCTTCTCATAACATTCTAGCACAAAACTGACACTTAGGTAAGAAAAAAATTAGTTAAGAGGACAACAGCAGCAGCAACTTTTATCCCATGTGCCTGGTGATACTAATCAACAGCAATCAAATAAATGTAAACTTTCAACAACTTCGCTGTAAAAATCCAGTTTTATTTTCAAGGTATAAACAAGAGTTCTATGTATTTTAGACGAAACAAGAATTAAATGTTAGCATTAACCAGAATGAGTACCAAGAGATTAACAGTATGGCAGACTTTGCATTTCTAAAAGGATGTTTAATCCCATAGGGTACTAGTATAAACACAGACATAAAAAAACCACATAGACAGTTTCATCTGTGGTGCCTGGAGAAGATTTATTTAAGTTACATCCTCCCTAAAATGTGTGCAGGGATAGATGATGAATGTTATTTCAAAGCTTAGCTTGTCATAATTTACTGGATACATATCAGCTCATTCTGCCTTCCTGCAGGTCCCTCTAGGTCTCTGAGAAAAAAGATAATGAGCGAGTAAACAGTAACACCTTTGATTGTGTTCAGGATGGGGAAAAGAAACTGTTAACCAAAACAAATACACGGTATAATCCCCTATGTGTTCCGTGCAGTTCATGAATGGTTGTACGGTATGTGCTTGCTTAGTAACAGTAATCAAACCCGTTCTTTCTCTATAATCGTTATTTTCAATTAGATGAGCTATTCTTAGCTCCTGCATAATTATGTCTATGTAGCATAAACTTAATGAAGCAATCCTAGCGCTGGGACATTGTTTTGTGAGACAATAATGTAGTCTGCACATAGATAAACTAGACACTGATCATCCTTTTGTGATGATAGAACAACCAGACTATTCCCATATAAAAATAGTCTAATACTATTGCCACCGCTACAACAGCCATCTTAAAAGCTAATATACTAAATGACCAGCATCAGGAAAACATACTGCCAGGATAGTACAGTTATCTATTAATGCCTGTGAATTTTCTGTTTTATTATACCCAAGAAGCAAATCACACATCCTGTCCACATCACAAGGACGTCACACATCCTTACCTATCCATTAGGTAAGGAATTAAATGGTGACACGAGCAATAAGCTAGTGAAACTTTGTCACGTGAAGCCGGACAAAGCAAGTCACAGCAGGAAGAAATCAATGGAACAGAAGGTAAACGAGCACTGCTTTCCTTGGCTGCCTTATCTCACACCTTTTTTGGTGGTGTTTTTTTTTTTTTTTCCACTCACACTTCCTGCTCTTGTGCCCGTTTTGTACTCACAGTCAGGAGTTCCAGCAGACCAGAACCAGAGCGACTGTTCGGACGCGAGCGCTGCCAAGGGATGTCTCAGCGACGCACTCGAGCAGAGCCGCAGTGCTGTACTGTCGCTGAGAGAGGACGCAACAAGAGGGACCAAATGGGGACAGGAGGGTACATAGGCACAAGAAGAGTATTTATGGTCCTGAGAGGGTCTTCGCCCAGTTCCACAGAGCTGCGTGCACATGGCTGGGCTGAGACACTTCCCTGACGGCCGCTTCGGCCAGCATCATTGACAACATATGGCAAATGGGAAAAGAACAGGAGAAACCGGCAGAGCCAGTGCTGCTGTACAGAATAGAAGCACTGTGCTGCTTTGCCTGTCAACACAGGCTCTCCATTATTTGCTTTATTTGCTATTCATCACCTTGGCATTTGGATGTTTTACTGGCTAACTTCAGCAATGTGTACCTTATTGTCTCAATTTGCAACTGTATATTCAGACTTTTCTTTCACTTCCTGTACGCTTACTTATAAGTGTCAGACTAAAACCATTTTTCTGTTGCTATTTATATATCATGAAGATGATCCGAGGGCTGGAGCACCTCTGCTGTGAGGACAGGCTGAGAGAGTTGGGGTTGTTCAGCCTGGAGAAGAGAAGGCTCCAGGGAGACCTTAGAGCAGCCTTCCACTACCTAAAGGGGCCGACAAGAAAGGTGGGGAGGGACTTTTTACAAGGGCAGGGAGTGACAGGATAAGAGGTAACAGCTTTAAAGTGGAAGAGGGAAGATTTAGATGAGATACGAGGAAGAAATTCTTCCTGGTGAGGGTGGTGAGGCAGTGGCAGAGGTTGCCCAGAGAGCTGTGGCTGCCCCATCCCTGGAAGTGTTCCAGGCCAGGCTGGATGGGGCTGTGAGCAACCTGGTCTGGTGGGAGGTGTCCCTGCCCATGGCAGGGAGGTTGGAACTGGGTGGTCTTTAAGGTCCCAAACCATTCTGTGATTCATTCTATTCTACAATTTAATTTCCTGGGTTTTTTTTATTCTGACTTCCACACTCGATTTGTCTGTATGTTTTCCAAATTACCAGCTTACAGTTACTGCTGCTTGGCATGACATATTGTTTGTACCTGTTTTATTCCGCCTTGCACTGACCCTCACACTATCAGTGCGTTATTATCGGAGACTATGGAGAAATAAGTTAGTTTTGAATGATAACGTTTACAGGGAGAGCTATCAAAGCAGGGTTGCCCCACTGAAATATTACCCATTAACTCCATTTATGCTTTACACCACTTGGGAAAGCCTTCTTTACCTTTTGTTCCTGGGGTAACTTTGTCACTGTAAAGTCTTGAACTTTTATTTATTATCAGTAATTATTCATGGAAATTTAAGTCTATGATATACCAAGTCAAAAGGACCCACATCTGAATGACCACCATCTACGTGAGAATTGCTTTTTTTCCCAGAGAGCTCTACATCTTTTGCTGTGACAGGAAATCTTTATGAGAACTTTTGAAAGAGAAAACTCAAAAAGAAGTCTCCTTTCGTCTCCCCCAGCCAAGAAAAAGACTGCAGTGGGCTTTGCATGCTGTTCCACACATTCTCCAGGAACAGCTGATCTGAAGTTTCAGCAGCAAAATAGAAACAATGCAGGGAGGTAGGTAGCAATCCACAGACTGCGAAACAGTACAGGAAAATAAAGAGTGAACTGCTTTGCAATGCTGCATTCAGGTTCTAACTCACAGCAAAGGAGCTTTAATGATTTTTCTTTTAGGTGAACAAGCTGTCCTTTGTAAAAATTCATCCTCAGCAACTGCAACACATTACTAACTTTTGAACTGCCACGTGTTTTTATGCAAGTGTCTACTTGAAAGTATCATCGTACTATTAATATTCCACATCATGTCTTAAACATGTGCTTGAAAGCTTTGAAACCAATATAAAATCAAAGTATTTAAGACAAAACCAATCCATATTTGGAGGGACAATCTACCACTTAGCTAATGAATTCACAGTGGTTGTAAATGCAATCAAGACAGGGACAAAATTAAGTTGTATCTGTGGCAGGAATCAAACTGTACTTTGGGTAAAAAGGAAGGGAGAGCTATAGCCCACGCAGAGTGCTGGTACCAGGCGACAGCCCGTGGAGTCCCTGTATCTACCGGTCTGTGTCGCCAGTGAGCGAGGGCTGGAGGACCGACAGCTAACTGAATAACTTTGCTATTGTTAGAAATTGCATTTGGACTCATACCGGGCTCTGATTTTGAAAGAAGCCTAAACTTTCTAGACTGTGGGACAACTGACACCACTACCGATACCCTTCTTTTCCGTGTTTGGTTGGGTAGGTAAACAGACATATCATTTTAGCTACACTCAAGAGATTATGAGCACAGAGTCAGAGGCTTCTTACAAGCAGCCTCCCCTTCCAGCAACGCTACAATCAGATTTCTCTCTACTTATGTCTGAAAAGTGACTTCAAGGAGGAGTACTGAGGGCTGAAGAGCTTAAACAACATTATCTAGCATTCTGCAGCAACAATGCTTATATATAATGCCACATGTCTAGAACGCATTATGTAATGTCTATCTACATTTAAACCCCATTTAGAAGTGTCCATTACCCTCCAGACTATTTTGTATTTCCATGGTATC